TGCAAAATAATGATATTGGAGTTATGAGCAGTTAATGAGAACATAAAGTATTAGATCCAGTGAAGGCAGTGAAATGGAGCAAGTTAAATAACCGGGAAAAATTAAAAAAAAAAAATCCACCCAGCTGGTAGAGCCAAAGAGAAGTCATTAGAAATATGAAGGAGGTTGAAGAGGAGGAAAAGAAAAATCATGGAAGACTCAGAATAGTCACAATGGGACTATTTCAAGGTGAGCTGGGACCACAAGTGGAGATGAAGATTGTTTTGGGAAATGAAACAGGACACCCTTAGCTTAAGCTGCCACAGAGTCTTGAAGGAAGTAGGAGAAAGGAAAGAGAGACTCTCTCCAAATAAACAGAACCTCAAATTGGTCACATGGCAGTGGGCTAGAGGCCAACTCTTGGCAACACTTTTTAACACAGATTGGAACTGGGACCTGGGATTTCCTGACTTGTGGATCTGTGCGGAGAAGGGTGGCTCTTTTTTCCTCTGGGGCAGTTGGTGGGTTTGATCTGTGGGACTTTAGTTGATGGCTGGGTGACATTATTGGCCGGCAGTTCCAGGTAGAGCCAAGGGCTCCAGCTGCCCTTTCTGTGCCTGCATTGGTGACTGAATTATCTCGCACTGAGCACAAAAAACAGCCTCTGGCTTTCTTTCCTGGGAATCGCTTCTTGCACCAGTCTCCTTTCTCTTGTGTGGGTGCTCCAGTCAGTGAGCAGATTCTGACATAGCAGCCAGTTTCTAGGGCTGCTGGCTGAACATAACTGGAAAGATTCTTCCTCACATAATCTATCCTCCCTTCATTTTTCTATTATCCCCTTGCCCAATTTTTCTTCCTTTATATCTGGTCACTTCCTCCACTGCTTCTTCATTGTCTCATTTTTGTCAAAACTTCATCCCTCCCACCCACTCACTTTTGTTTTCTTTTTCTTGTATTCTTTTTTTTTTGTTGTTCCCTATTTCCTGTCATCTAATTTTGTTCTATATTTTCATCTCTCCTTCTTCTCCTTGGCTTTTTTCTTTTCTTTTTATTTCTCCTGCCTCATCCAATGGGAGAAACATATTAGCCCTCCACTAGTCAGCTGTAGCTTCTACAGTGACCACCTTACCCAACAGACAATAACACCAGTAGCTCCTGCACCGCATGATCAATGACAGACAACACTTGTTCATCCCAACTGCAAATCCTCTCCGTGATAAACAGAAACCTGCGTCCACATCCACACCAGTGATTCCACCAACACAAAGAAAGCTGGAGAGAGACCCCGTACAGCCAAGTTAACAACCAAAGAAGTGCACTTTCAGATATACTAAAACATAAAACCAAGGGGAAACAAATAAATACATAACTAACAAATAAAGACAACAACTTCAAAATGTCTAGGAAACAACAGACAACTTCTGATCAAAAAAAAAAAAAAGAAGAAGAAAAGAAAAGAAAAAAACCAGAATAAGATAGTAGAAATAAGTGTCCAAGCTAAAGAATGAGGAAATCTCCCCAAGGAAGAACAAGCAATAGAACTAGTTTATAAAGAATTGAGAATATTGAGAATCCCTCCAAGAGTTCAAGGAAACCATAAAGAAAAGCAATGAGAAGATAGTATCCTGGAAGAATTCAGGAAGGAAAATCATTCAAGAAAAACATAACAAAATAAATACACAAATAGAAATCATACCAAAACAGCAATTAGAAATCCAGAAGATGAACACAAATATTACAGAGATAAATAACCCAGTGGAAGGAAAAATAGTAGCCTAGAACTGGAAGACAAATCATTTGACACCAATTTGTATGAGGAAAAATCAGAACAAAGATTTAAGAGAAATGAAGAAAACCTAACAGTTATATGGAATGGCATGAAAGAAACAACATACATCTGATTGAAATCCCAGATCAGGAGAAGGCCAAAAAAAAAAAAAACCACTGAAAAAATTGCCTAACACTTGCTAACAGAAAATTTCCCCCACATCATGAAAGAAGAGAAGATATCTATCCCAGAAACACAACAAACCCCAAATATAATAAACCCCAAGAGAAAGTTACCAAAACATATCATAATAAAATTTTCCAAAACCAAAGACAAAGAAAATGTCTTGGGAACAGCTTGGGTAAAACAAAATGTCACCTACAATGGGCAACCAATAAAACTAAGCTCTGATTTCTCAGCAGAAACCATGCAGGCAAGAAAGCAGTAGGATGGCGTATACAAAATCTTAAAGGAAAAGAATTGCCAACCAAGAGTTATATATCCACCAAACTGTTCTTCAAATATGAGGGTAAAATCAAGACATTCCCAGACAAACAGAAATTAAGGGAATTTTTGAAAACCACCTACTCTAGAAACATGCACTCCTTAGGTCAATCAGCTGTGAGACATCAGAGGAACAGCATTTACACAAAGGGAAAGCTGGACAGACAGGACAGACAGAATAGATAATAAGGGCACAGGAAGGTGTAGTCACAGGGAGGAGAGAGGAAGGGAGTTTTTTTATGGTTGGGGACTATAATCAGGGCCATGAATTTAAATGTGCATGAACTATTGAGAGTGAAATGAATCTGCTTTGTAAATTTGCACCCAAATCACAATAAAAACAACAACAACAAAAATGAAAAACAAGTGCTAGTGAGGATGTAGAGAAATGGGAATGTAAAATGGTGCAGCCACTGTGGAAAAAATTTGGCATATCCTCAAAAGGTAGATAAAGAATTACCAAATAAACCAAAAATTGCACTGCTTTTTCACTCTTACCCAGAAGAAATGAAAACATGTCTATTTGAAAACTTATACATGAATGTATATAGAGGCCTTATTCTAAATAGCCAAAAGGTGCAAATATCCCAAATGTCTATTAATGGATAAAGAGATAAACAAATTGTGGTATATATGTATAATGGAATTATATTCAGAACATACACATAACTCTTGAGTGCTTAAAACAATGCTATAATATGGGTACCATTATTAGTCTCTTTTTAGGAGGAAGAGCTGAGGCCCAGAAGGAATAAAAAATTTACCAAAGCCCACACCACTCCTTAGTAGCAGAGGCAGAATCTGAGTGCAGGCAGTTTGGCTCCAGATGCTGTTTCTGACCACCATGCTGTACAAAATCCACCACAGCTCCTATTAGTAGAAGGAAGACTCAGTGGCTGCATCTTGGGGGGGGGGGTAATATTGAAAAACTGATAAACCCTATTTTTGTAATTGTTTCCTAATTCTTCCCCTAATTGATACACTTGAATACACTCTGAGACTTGCCAAAGTCCTGGAATAGCATAAGGATTTGTTTTAGAGAATACTTTTTTGACAATAATTTGTCATCTGCTAAGAGATAAAGTTGAATCTGACTCTATCCCAACAATGTTCTGAGTTTGTTCCAGTGAGGAAGATTCCCTTATAGAGCTATTAGCCATAATTCATGAAGGAGATCAAGCAATAATGCTCGTTTGGGAAAATCTTCAATAGAAGTTCCCCTCTTCTCTCAAATGAAACTGGAATATTATCATGACAGGCTGGCTCTTTATAACATGAGTTCATAAAACAACCTCATTTTAAAAAAGAAAAAAGGACATATTTAAGACGCAACAAAGTGCACACATACTTGCTAGTCAGTGAACATAAACCAATGGTACTTAGGGGGGAGATACCCATATAACTTATCTTTCTAAGTTAAAATAAATCAGACTATTCATTAGTCTCAGGTAATGGAAAAGCACCGTACAATGTTTTAGGTGATGATATTCCTGAACACAGCTATACATCGTTCTGCTCTTGCCATAAGGTTAGGGGGCTGGAGTTTCAAGAAGAGCTTCTGTTGTCCAAGCCCTTTTATTTTCGTAAGAACCCTCCTATATTTGCAAATTATTTTGGTTCTCCACCAAAAATAAATAAATGAGCATTGCCATAATTAAGATGTAACCTCTTTCCAATGTGAATTTCAAAGTTTAAAAAGAGTAAGAGTATTTTCTTCATTCCAAAAGATGTCAGAAGAGTTATGGGATTGTAGGACCTTACCACACTGAAGATGAGATATTAAGTAAATGGAATAAAGACAGGACACCCAGAAGGGGGAAAAAAGAAAAATGAAATAATCTGAAAAAAAAAAATAAATAAACTCGCTGCCATCCAGTCGATATCGATGAATAGCAACCCCCTTTGGGTTTCCAAGGCAGTAAAATGTTACAGAACTAGATTGCGCTGTCTTCCTTCTGGGGAGTGGCTGGTGGGTTTAAACTGTCAACCTTCTGGTTAGCAGTCAAATACCTTAGGCACTACGCCACCTCAAAAAAGTCATATAGAAACATGGCATCAAGGAGTGTTATGGATGACGTTTTCAAAGTACAATTTTCAAACACATATATCATTTAAAAAAATATAAAATCAAAATGTTCGAGTAACAAGGAAAATTCATGTGAATCCTTCTCTCAAGGAGCTTGCAATCAAGATAAGTAAAAATGAAATGAAAAGAAATATGCAAGTTCAAAAATTGCATAGACAAATAAAAGAAACTTGTGAGTCAAACTGGTTAATCAGGAAGATTATACTAATGGAAGTAAACTTTTAGATTTAACAACTTTAAATGGCAAGTGACCTAAGGATATATACTGCTAGGATGATCAGAAGACAAGCAAATGTGTGGTCTTTTTTCCTTGGCCTGTTTGTAATTTGATAGCCTACGCTAGCAAGGCTTCGCACATCAGAATTAGTTTGACCATCTCAGATTTATTACAAAATCAGGAAGAAACTTGCCCTCAATGCAAGGACACAGCAATCATGTGGTTACCTAGCTCCATTCATATTTAACATAAATCCATATTTAACACCGATCAAAGAATTAAATATTGTCAAATTCACACTTTCCACTGTGTTTGGCAATAAAAAGAGATTGATTCTTGTTCACTCTGCAACTTAAAGAATCCATTGGTAATGACAGAATGAAACACCAAATATTGCCACAGAAATCAGAGGGAAAATTTACTATATTTTTGTTTTCTGTTTCCAGTGGTCTGATACTAAATCCATCTGCACAAGTTAGGCTGTGTAAGAACACAATGGGGTTCTTTATTGCTGAATCTGCAAGGGAAGTCAAAAGGTAATTTTTTTTTTTTTTTTATTACTTTATGGGGGGAAAGCACTAAAGCAAATACAACTTAATGGCAGACAGACTGAGTCAGCGCCATGCCTCCCTAGTGTTAAGCCTCACATAAGTCATTCTTGATTTGCTTTCATTGTCCAGAGCCTTATTTTACTGTTCCACCTGTCACAGTGATGTGAATAATCCTGAGATAATTGGAAAATGTGGCTGCAAAACCAAGAGCCTTCGATGTAACATCACAGGTAACTGTACTTTATGTCTTGCTGTCTGTAACCCAACTTCTAGAGACCTGGACAAGGGAAGTGTAGAAGATTGTAGTTCCTAAAAGGCAATGCCTCCTTCAAGTTTGCAAAAAGGAGCAGACATTTCTCCAATGGGCATACAAAACCTGAGAATCAATCTGTTAGTGTTGGGAGAAACCTTACTTGCTATCTAGCTCAAATCTAACAAGCCAAACGAATGTGATCCAAAAGAAATTAAGTAATGTTCAAAGTCACATGGTCAATTGGTGACATTGCCAAACTCAATCCAGGCATCTTGACTCTTTTTTTTTTAAACCACATTGAACTTGTTTTCCCAAACTGAGACTGAAAATCCAGCCTGTATCTGACTACTTGCTTGACCATAAGAACACTACCCCATGACCTCTCCTTGAGTTCTCTTGAGTTCTTAATGGATTGTGGAGAGTTTAAAATTTACTCACTCTGATAGTGATACTGAAAGTAACTTTCTCTATTTTCTCTAGAAGGATCCACCAATTATCTTTTCCACTTAATACCAAAAAAAGATCAAACCCACTGTCAATTCTGTCTCATAAAGACCCTCATTAGGTTTCCAAGGTGGTAAATCTTTACAGAAGTGGATTACCTGGTCTTCCTTCTGTAGAGTGGCTGGTGGGTTTGAACCACCAACCTTCTGGATAGTAGTCAAATGCCTTAGGCACTCCACCACCAGACTTCCTTTCCCACTTCTCCTTAATTCCAAGCATTCATGATAATTTAGTTGCTTCTTGTTTTAACAGTCTTTTCCAGGTACATTCAGAGCTTTTTGGTAAACCCCCAGTGTTTGAAGATCTAAACTCAATCAATTCAAAGTTTCAATTTTCTATCAGGGCTTTTCTTTTAAGTGTTTTTCTACTATCCTTCTCCCCAGGTGCTAATTAAATTTGCTTAGCATCATGATTATTCTTGTAGTGAAAAGGCAAAATATCCTTTCATGCAAGTCCTTACTGACCTCTCCTGAGGGATCTCATTCCCTCTGGACAGTATGTGTCAACTTCTGTGACCTCTGCAACATCTGTAACCAATGAATCTGTTTCTACAGGCTTTGGGTCACCTTCTGTCATCTGTTTCTGAAATCTTTTGTCCCTGCCATAGCCTGTAATTTTGAGTTCAGTAAAGCCTTCCTTACCAGCACCCTTCGACTTTCCATTCTGCCTTTTATTGGCCCTTCTGTTGGTTGGGATTTCTAGATCAGCCTCATGTATGTCAGGATGTGGAAACTCAGGTGGATGCCCTCTCAGTCCTTCTCTCTGCTTAACACACATCTGCCCTATCTTCTTCTGCATTGTGACTGGACACTTTTCAGGTGCACTCCACCAAGCATCCAAATGGAAAGGGAGGCACTAGTAGCATTTTCTATCGTCATATATCACAAAAATAATAGATATAGTTTGTTTAAATACCCCTCACCAACCTGAAGCAAGGGAGTGTGTAGGGGTGTGTGTGTGCGCGCGCACGTACACACGTGCACCCAGGGAATGGACTGAGTCCTTTGTCAGGAATCTAGGCTCTGTCTGGGTTTTGCTGTTGTTGTTGTTAGGTACCGTTGAGTTGTTTCCGACTCATAGTGACCCCATGCACAGTAGAACGAAACACTGCCCGATCCCACACCAGCTCCATGATCTCTGCTATACTTGAGCCCATCATCACAGCCAC